GAAGAAGAACTTCCTCTTTGGGTGACAACTTGATTTATTAGAAGCATTTACTGCTGATGAAGTTCAGTGCCAAACAACTCATGCAGTTTGATCTGCCTTTCTTCCTTGGTGTTCCACAGAGTAGTTTGGGGAGAGTTGTCAGCTCTGCTGAATACAATACATGTTGAATATCTCATATGTGCACCAAGGCCAGGATTCATTGTGCAGGAATCGTGCAGTGGGAAAAAGATGGCGGAGCAAAGTAGAGTACAGTGATGAGAATGACCCTTCTTATCTTGTAGAAGTACGGTTTGTTAATGAGGAGCAGCTGATCGGATTACCAATCTTGAAGAATCCATTTTAGATATCCAAACTGGTGGAGAGAGTGCTGGGTAAAGTGAAGGCTGTGAGGATCACAAGAGGAGGGCTTGTTTTCAGTTTTTGTGCTTTTGAGGATCAGAAGGAACGTGTGTTGCGTCTCACCCGATTTGAGAAGTTTGACGTGTCGTGTGTGTCTCTTCGGAACAGGGAACCCCTCAGGAGTGATTGATGCACATCGGTTGAATCATGTGGTGAATGAAGAAAAAGTGAAGAGTCTATCTGCTCTTTTGTTTTTTGATATGGATTCTCTCCGTACTCAAGAGCAGTTGGGGTATATAAACTACAGTCAGAGCATGTATCCCAAGACCAAGACTGTAAAACTTTTGGACATGTTTCAAGTGTTTGCAGAAGGGAGAAGCCGAGATGTCCAAGTTGTGGAAAATATAATTTAATGTGTTTTAAAAGTGATGAAAATGTGACATGTTGCAATTGTGGTGGGAACCATGAAGCCACGTCTTTGGAATGTAGGGCTGTCGAGAGAATTTTATATGCAGCGGCTGTTAAAAGGGTTGAGGGTTTGAATCGTGCTCCTGAAGAGTCCATTGTGGTGGATAGGCCTTCACTGCAGGCTGCAGGGGTTGCTTTTCACCAGCAGGACCCAGATATTTTAATGGTTAAGAAGGTGACTTTGTGGCCTTTATATCTATGGTGATTAATGGCACTACCAAGGTGGAGAGGAAGTCCAGGTAAATAGATATCATTGTGAATGTGGCGGAGCAGTTCCTGGGACTGAAAGACTTCTCGGCCGAGGAGTTGCATGGAGGATTGTCACAAGCCGTACCAGCCTCTCAGGCCCCAGAGCCTGAGAAGGGAGATATGGAGATTTGAAGGAAGAAGTGGGAGTTTTGTTTTTGTCAATGTACTATTTTTATTTGGGTGAATTAAGTTAATTTTGCCTATCATGTATGGATTTTCTTTTTACTTTGTTTTTTCAGTTGGTTGGGTCGGCAATACACCTTTTAGGATTGTAGTCCGCTATAAAACCCACAGAAGAAGAATTCCTCTTTGGGTTGATGGAGAAGCGGGATGAATCACAAGATGATGGGTACGCCCGAATGGTTGTAGGATTTGGAGATGAAGTCAGGGGTAACCATTGAGGTTGGTAAGAATGCGGGCAGAAAAAAAAGGAAGAAAGTGGAACATATTATGAGTAAATATGGAGTGCTGTAGAAGGAAATTGAACATAACGAGGATGAATTGACTGCGGTGCCAGGTGCGGTGAAGAATGCCGAGTTTGAGCCTCGTCCCGATGGTGATAAAGATGTTTCTTTGCCCAGTGGGAATGAGATTTTTGGAGAGACTGGATCCTTGCCTTCTGGCTGATTCATATGTGGTGTCAGGTTGGATGGAGAAGAGGTTGGGGAATGTTGGGTCAGTGAAAGTGACTCGAAGTGGAATCGTGTAGATTTTTTTGCATTTCTGCTGTCCAGAGGGAGCGTGCGCTCACATCACGTGTATGGGGACAAGAACTGTGACTTGCTTTCCTCTCCAGAGCAGGGCACCATTGAAAGGAGTGATCACTAGAGTGACAAACTGCCCTTGCTGTCTCTGCCTGGCCGACTCCCCTCTCTCCACTGGGATTCTCTGCCTCTGACACCTTTTACGGGGGCTGTGTCACTAGCTTACTAGTGCTCTTCCATGCCATCCCTAGGAGGGGTGCGTCACGTCGTGACAGGCTTTTTTCGCTATACTCAACTTGTGTGGTTGAGTCTCAGCCTCCAGTATCTATGCTGCAATAGTCTATGTGCCGGGGGGCTAGGGTCAGTCTGTCCTATCTGGTGGAATTCTCCTGTCTTATCTGGTGTCCTGTGTGAACTTAAGTATGCTCCCTCTAATTCTCCTATCTCTCTCTCTCTCTCTCTCTCTCTCTATCCCCTCCCGGAGGACCTGAACCCTTTCTCAGGACTACCTAGCCTGACGACTCCTGGCTGTCCCCGTCCCCAGCCCACCTGGTTGTGCTGCTGATCCTGTTTCTGCTGTTTTGCCTGTGGCTATGGAACCATGACCTGTTCACCAGACGTGCTACCTTGTCATGCTGCTGCTCTAGTTTCAACTGTTCTGCCTGCGGCTATGGAACCATGACCTGTTCACCGGACGTGCTACCTTGTCCCGGACCTGCTGTTTTCGACCCGCTCTCTCCCTCTCCCTCTCCCTCTCTCTCTCTACCGCACCTGCTGTCTCAACCTCTGAATTCTTGGCTATGAAAAGCCAACTGACATTTACTCCTGAGATGCTGACCTGTTGCACCCTCTACAACCACTGTGATTATTATTTGCCCCTGCTGGTCATCTATGAACATTTGAACATCTTGAAGAACGATCTAGCCTTAATGGCCATGTACACTTATAATCTCCACCCGGCACAGCTAGAAGAGGACTGGCCACCCCTCAGAGCCTGGTTCCTCTCTAGGTTTCTACCTAAGTACCGGCCTTTCTAGGGAGTTTTTCCTAGCCACCGTGCTTCTACATCTGCATTGCTTGCTGTTTGGGGTTTTAGGCTGGGTTTCTGTATAAGCACTTTGTGACATCTGCTGATGCTTTATAAACAAATTTGATTGAGTGATTGAGTAAGGGGTGTTCAGCGTGTCTCCTATCTGGAGACTGTGAGAAGATTGGAAGGAACGAGTGGCGGGGAAGAAACAATGGTAGTAGAGCCACCACGACCAGTAGAGGTTTCTCATCAACCGAGGGATCGTGAAATGTTACATGTTAAAAAGGTGGACTTTATTATTTATTGCAATGGTCATAGACTGTACAGCACAAGCAGAGAAGAAGTCTGAGAAAATTGGAATCATTGTGAATGCAGCTGAACGTTTCTTGGGTCTTTGTGATTTCACAGCCGAGGCCTTGCTAAAAATTGCCGTTAGCCTGTGTAGGGATGTATTTTGGAATTAACTGTGATTTAATAAGTGGGATGCGTTTTGTTTGTTGAGGTGTCCATTTTTTGTATTTTGTATGATGTCGTTTTTCCCCCTTTCCCGCAATTGATATTATTGTTTTGGTTCAATACCCCGTCCAGCTGGTGACGGTAATGCACCATTAATATTGGATGCCAACTGTCGTTAAACCACATCGAATAAGAAGAAAGAACTTCCTGAGGCCACTGTAACTGGAAAATATAGCTACATTCGGGGGAAAGCGCGGAATCGGACGATTTCCGTAGAGACGTGGAAGGGCAGGAGGAAAAGGCGTGTCAGAGAAAGATGGCGGAAGTGGAGGATGAGTTCGAATCAAGCAGCGCGTCGAGCAAAGTTGGTGAAGACGAATGTTCTGAATGGACAACAGTAGTATCGAAAACTGGAACAAAAAGGAAATAGTCTAAAATTGGAGTGGAGGATACTTCTTGTTGGGATGCGTTGGTTGAGTAAGGATGCATATGTGGGAGAGCCGTTTGAGGTGTCAAATGGTGAAGTATGCACTGGGAGAAGTGGAGTCTGTCAGAGTGACCAGGAGTGGTCTTATTTTGATTAATTGTATTTCTGAAGAACAGAGGAAGATTTCAGTGAGCCTCAAAAGAATCCGTACAACAGAAGTTTTGTGTTTTGAACTTCGGAGTAGAGCACCCATCAAAGGAGTCATCTCAGGGGTGACAACGGATGTTCAGGTTGAATCCCTGAAGATAATTCCTGGTGTGGTTGGCGCCCGGCTTCTGACCCGCTGGGTGAATGGAGAAAAATAAGAAAGTCTGTCAGTCCAGTTGTTTTTTGATAAAGAGCAAATACCTACGCATGTGAAGCTTGGTTATGTAAAATACGCTGTAAGAGCTTTGGTCCCCAAACCATTGCAGTGTAAGAATTGTAAAGGATTTGGCCATGTTTCAAGTGTGCAGACGGACAGAGTATATTGAAGAACGGTGTGCAGAAGGACGACGGTGTTGCAATTGTGGTGGGGATCATGATCCCGAGTTCCTGGAATGCCCTGTAAGGGTGAAGGCGATTAAGGTGGCAAAAGTTAGTGGTCAATCGAATCTCCTATGCGGAGGCAATTTAAAATAATTGCGAAAACAAATGATGCTAGTGAAGATAAGGTAGTAAATGTTTGCTGCCACTCAAAATATACATTTTTACATTTTTAGTCATTTAGCAGACGCTCTTATCCAGAGCGACTTACAGGAGCAATTAGGGTGCCTTGCTCAAGGGCACATCGACAGATTTTTCACCTAGTCGGCTCAGGGATTAGAACTGGCACAACGCTGTTAACCACTAAGCTACCTGATACCCTGTGTGTTAAGAAGGTGGATTTTGTGGCAATGAATGCCACAGTTATAAACTGTACGGCACAAGTCTCAAAGAAATCTAAGAAACTGGACATTATTGTGTCTGCGGCAGAAACGTTTTGGGGACTTAAGGACCTGAAGACTTGCAAGGGGTACTGGCGCCGGAAGACCCCGCCCTCCCAGGTTCCCCTTGAGCCTGTGTAGGGATCAGATATTTATTTCAGTTTTTTTCAGAAAAGTTGTTTTTATTTTTTTTATTTTTTAAAGATGTTTTGGTATTTTGTTCCATTTTGGGGAATCCTGTTTCCATCCTTGTGCGATCGCCAATAATAATAATAAGAAGAAGAAGAAGAAGAAGAAGAAGAAGAAGAAGAAGAAGAAGAAGCAGCAACAACAACAACAACTTCCTGTTGCGTCAGACCAATATGGCGGCGTTCAGGAGAGGTGTGTTTTGTATTGGTCTGAGGTAAGTTATCGAGCTATTAGCTAATCATGTCAACGTAATTTTGTCAATTCACGTACTAAATTATATATAGGCTATGTAAGGACGGTGTATGTCCAATGGGTTAACGTTAGTTAGCGTTTGGATATGTCGAAACAAAAACTAGCTATTCGAGCGAGCTACCTAGCTAACGTTAGCTATATATATATCAGATTATTTAGCTACTGTTCTTAGCTAACTACTCTTGTCGTGGCTACTTCATTACACTTAGGTTGTGGTATCTTGAAATGGCAATTCACTTCGTGATTTACATTTTTTTTTCGCTGTCCTTTTAGCTATGCCTCAAACTTAGTGAGACTCAGTGGGGCGTTGGTGCGCCGACAGGTCATGAAATTCCCCACGACGATCCGGAAGAACTGGATATCCCTGTCTGCTATTGGTGGCCTATGTGCAGTGCCCTTCTCACAGGTTGTTTTACACATTTAAATGATATACAGTTAGCTAGTCATGCAGCCTAGTAAGCCAGTTGTAGATTCCTTCATCAGTTTCATGTTCCAATTCAGTGGAAAACTAAACCAAAAATAAAACTCTAGCTAAACTGGGGCGGCAGGTAGCTTAGTGGTTAAGAGCGTTGTGCCAGTAACCGAAAGGTCGCTGGTTCTAATCCCCGAGCCAACTAGGTGAAAAATCTGTCGATGTGCCCTTGAGCAAGGCACTTAACCCTAATTGCTCCTGTAAGTCGCTCTGGATAAGAGCGTCTGCTAAATGACGTAAATGTAAATGTAAAATGTAAACTAACCATCCATCTCTATGCCCTCTTTTCTAGAAACAAGACAACCTGTCTCATGAGGCCTTGGTCCGCAGGGCATCCTCATTGGTCACAGACAGCACCAACACCTTCCTCTCTCAGACCACCCTGGCACTGGTAGACTCATTCACACAGTACGTCAAGGTAACCACTTTTTCACATTACCATGTGTTAGGGGACAAAATTAAACTTTATATATATATACTTTGTATATATATACAAACTTTATATATATATATATATATATATACTTTGTATTCCATGCTATACAGAAGCTTTGCGGGAACACAGAACACTTTATTTCATTAGGATAGGACTTACCATAGCTGAGATCATATTTTCAAGTTGTCAGAAAAAGTCACAAAGGTCACGTACAGGTAAATGTTAATCCCTAGTTAATTATGGCACCAAGTCTGGATTCTTAAATTCAACAAATTTTGTCCAATATCACAAGATAGCGTGGTCATATTGTTATGACATTTTCAGGGCTGATGTAGAACAGGGATGATTCAAATTAAAGTATATTTTTATTTATTTAAATGTTATATTATGCAAATTAGGCACGTCATATACAAATTAGGCCGTATGGAATACATATTTACAGTAATTTAAGACCAATAATTTAAGGTAGGGTGGTCATATTATTAACAAATCTTAATGCTTTATGCAAACCTGAGAGTTTGAAACAATTTATGAAATTAGAATACAACTTTTTGTACTACTTTATGGAAATTAGTTTCTTAATACACACACCACACAGCATCCCCACCAACACAGACAAACACCATCACACACAGCCTAACAGATGCACACTTCTCACTAAGTCTGAACTTCAACACAAAAGGCTCAATTAACTGTTATTTAGCTATGTTTTTATTGATTGTAGGGCTATAGCCATTGAATTCTGGTAGTTTTTACTTGAAAGAATAAACCATCAATCACAAAATTAGCCACTGGCACAATAGAGCCAATGCCACGCAGTGCTGCCTCTTGCCCGGCTCGTTGCCTCCGCGAACGGTGTCAGGCACTCCCACACAGTTAGCAAGCTAGCACTCGTCATGGAAATGGGGGTGGCGAAAGGTGAATTTGGACCAATCCATGACAACCTATACATCTCTGAAAACATCAATGACAGAAGTGAAGAAAACACATTTGACCTTATATTTCAGTCAAAAGACATCCAATGACTGTGAAACACCCTCAGGACATTCCCATCCTTCTTGGCAATACAATGTCACATCCATCTTACTCTGACAGGTTGAGGAATACCCTTGCAAAGAGCAAATATGTTCGCACCGATTTCGCGGGTTTCACAAAACAAATTTGAACGTCCTTAGCGCGGCACTTGCTTTACATTTGGGCTCATGTCGTGTAAATATCATAATGTATAGTATTGGGATTTTTAGTCATGGTAGTAATAATAATATGCCATTTAGCAGACGCTTTTATCCAAAGCGACTTACAGTCATGAGTGCATACATTTTTTTGTGTATGGGTGGTCCCGGGGATCGAACCCACTACCCTGGCGTTACAAGCTCCGTGCTCTACCAGCTGAGCTACAGAGGACCACTGCCACATTGTTTTCAAATGATGTTTTTGTATTTTAATGATCACATTGACATTTCGTTTTTTTGTAGAATTCTTGCATAGCGTCCATTGTTTGTTGTGTCAACTAACATCCTAAATATGTCACTAAAGTGTTTCTCATATAGGCCAGTATTCAGCATACTTAACTGTAGTAGGGGAGAGTAGGGTATGCTGAGCTATTTACATTCAGCATCACTACGTCAAGGAAAGTATAGTATTCTTTCTATTAAAGATATCTATTATATATATCAGGATGTTGTGTATCCTTAGAAAGAATCAGAATTCATGGTAACATACGTTTTGAAAACATAGCTTGTCCAGGTAATGGGTAAGTTGAGCATAGGGACAGGGTAAGTTGAGCCGCCTTGAGGTAAGTAGGTGATGGTGCTGGTGGGTCAGTTTAATTCATGGAATGGGGGTGTGATATATTGTATAGCTTAAATGTATGCCTACATTCAGATACAGATCTCTCGCTGTTCAATATCACTTACCCTTACATTTCTTGGCCAGTTGTCTGGGACAGGAATGTTGATTCGATGTGCCAATTCATAGGAAAGTTCTCTGCATTTGAGGCTACTAAGCCCATGAAACTGGTCTGCGAGATTCTTGATATGATTAGCAAGCTCAGACTCCATGCCATCAGATAAGACCTTGTGTGCCTCTGCTACTCTGTCATAGCCTCTCTTTCACAAAGTACATGTTAGTTTGTTTTTTAGTGAATTTATCTCTTCAGTGTCATTCAGTAAAAAAAAAAAATCTCTTGCTGCTGCTCAAATGGACTTCTTCTCTTCACTCACTTCCTTGGCTGCTCTCTCAAGAACCTCAAGGGGGGCTAGACCCCTGCTTGTTTTACTTCTGTATACAATGATGTTTGCTCTGTAACAATGCAAATATTGAGTTCATATGTATGACACATTGCAAAGATACTATGCATATTATGTATAAAACAGACAAAATATAATCATTTGTATGGGGTATGGTGGCTGTTGGCTCAACTTACCCCAAGGCAAACGTTTTGACTATATTAGCCCACACAGCTACAAGGATGCACTTTCATGCTAGGTTTAGGACCTCATATTGTAGCTTATAAAGACCACGATGTAGAAAACGATCTACTTTGGTTTAGATACAAGCATCATGAAACCTATGACACAATACATTAATTTGACTTTGTGAAAATCTGTTTGGTTTTTTGGACATACACTACATGACCAAAAATATGCGGACACCTGCTCGTCAACCATCTCATTCCAAAATCATGGGCATTAATATGGAGTTGGTCCGCCCTTTGCTGCTATAACATCCTCCACTCTTCTGGGAAGGCTTTCCACTAGATGTTGGAACATTGCTGCAGTGACTTTGCTGCTTCCATTCAGCCACCAGCATTAGTGAGTTTGGGCACTGATGTTGGGCGATTAGGCCTGGCTCGCAGTCGGCATTCCAATTCATCCCAAAGGTGTTCGATTGGGTTGAGGTCAGGTCTCTGTGCAGGCCAGTCAAGTTCTTCCACACCGATCTCGACAAACCATTTCTGTATGGACCTTGCTTTGTGCATGGGGGCATTGTCATGCTGAAACAGGTAAGGGCCTTCCCCAAGCACAGAATCATCTAGAATGTAATTGTATGCTGTAGCGTTAAGATTTCCCTTCACTGGAACTAAGGGGCCTAGCCCGAACCATGAAAACAGCCCCAGACCATTATTCCTCCTCCACCAAACTTTACAGTTGGCACTATGCATTGGGGCAGGTAGCGTTCTCCGGGCATCCGCCAAACCCAGATTCGTCCATCGGACTGCCAGATGGTGAAGTGTGACTCATCACACCAGAGAACATATTTCCACTGCTCCAGAGTCCAATGGCGGTGAGCTTTACACCACTCCCGTCGACGCTTGGCATTGCGCACGGTGATCTTAGGCTTGTGTGCGGCTGCTTGGCCATGGAAACCCATTTCATAAAGCTCCCGACAAACTATGATTGTGCTGATGTTGCTTCCAGAGGCAGTTTGGAACTCTGTAGTGAGTGTTGCAACAGAGGACAGATTATTTTTATGCGCATCAGCACTCGTGGGTCCCACTCTGCCTGTAGCTTATGAATCTGAACTTCTAATATTGTCCCATTTCAGTATATGTCGGCGTTCTAAACTAGTGCTTTTGCTTCTAGAATCACGGAACATAAGATGGCAGACCTCTCAGAACACGAAGAATGTACACTTTGCGGCTGAGTTGTTGTTGCTCCTAGGCGTTTCCACTTCACAATAACAGCACTTACAGTTGACCGGGGCAGCTCTAGCAGGGCAGACATTTGAAGAACTGACTTGTTGGAAAGATGGCATCCTATAATGGTGCCACGTTGGAAGTCACTGAGCTCTTCGGTAAGGCCATTCTACTGCCAATGTTTGTCTATGGAGATTGCATGGCTGTGTGCTCAATTTTAAATACCTGACAGCAACAGGTGTGGCTGAACTAGCCAAATACACTAATTTGAAGCGGTGTCCACATACTTTTGTATGTGTGTGTGTGTGTGTATATATATATATATATATACTGCTCAAAAAAATAAAGGGAACACTTAAACAACACATCCTAGATCTGAATGAATGAAATAATCGTATTAAATACTTTTTTCTTTACATAGTTGAATGTGCTGACAACAAAATCACACAAAAATTATCAATGGAAATCAAATTTATCAAACCATGGAGGTCTGGATTTGGAGTCACCCTCAAAATTAAAGTGGAAAACCACACTACAGGCTGATCCAACTTTGTCAAAATGAGGCTCAGTAGTGTGTGTGGCCTCCACGTGCCTGTATGACCTCCCTACAACGCCTGGGCATGCTCCTGATGAGGTGGCGGATGGTCTCCTGAGGGATCTCCTCCCAGACCTGGACTAAAGCATCCGCCAACTCCTGGACAGTCTGTGGTGCAACGTGGTGTTGGTGGATGGAGCGAGACATGATGTCCCAGATGGGCTCAATTGGATTCAGGTCTGGGGAACGGGCGGGCCAGTCCATAGCATCAATGCCTTCCTCTTGCAGGAACTGCTGACACACTCCAGCCACATGAGGTCTAGCATTGTCTTGCATTAGGAGGAACCCAGGGCCAACCGCACCAGCATATGGTCTCACAAGGGGTCTGAGGATCTCATCTCGGTACCTAATGGCAGTCAGGCTACCTCTGGCGAGCACATGGAGGGCTGTGCGGCCCCCCAAAGAAATGCCACCCCACACCATGACTGACCCACCGCCAAACCGGTCATGCTGGAGGATGTTGCAGGCAGCAGAACGTTCTCCACGGTGTCTCCAGACTGTCACGTCTGTCACATGTGCTCAGTGTGAACCTGCTTTCATCTGCCAATCTTGGTGTTCTCTGGCAAATGCCAAACGTCCTGCACGGTGTTGGGCTGTAAGCACAACCCCCACCTGTGGACGTCGGGCCCTCATACCACCCTCATGGAGTCTGTTTCTGAACCGTTTGAGCAGACACATGCACATTTGTGGCCTGCTGGAGGTCATTTTGCAGGGCTCTGGCAGTGCTCCTCCTGCTCCTCCTTGCACAAAGGTGGAGGTAGCAGTCCTGCTGCTGGGTTGTTCCCCTCCTACGGCCTCCTCCATGTCTCCTGATGTACTGGCCTGTCTCCTGGTAGCGCCTCCATGCTCTGGACACTACGCTGACAGACACAGCAAACCTTCTTGCCACAGCTCGCATTGATGTGCCATCCTGGATGAGCTGCACTACCTGAGCCACTTGTGTGGGTTGTAAACTCCGTCTCATGCTACCACTAGAGTGAAAGCACCGCCAGCATTCAAAAGTGACCAAAACATCAGCCAGTAAGCATAGGAACTGAGAAGTGGTCTGTGGTCACCACCTGCAAAACCAGTCCTTTATTGGGGGTGTCTTGCTAATTGCCTATAATTTCCACCTGTTGTCTATTCCATTTGCACAACAACATGTGAAATTGATTGTCAATCAGTGTTGCTTCCTAAGTGGACAGTTTGATTTCACAGAAGTGTGATTGACTTGGAGTTGCATTGTGTTGTTTAAGTGTTCCCTTTATTTTTTTGAGCAGTGTGTATATATATATATATATATATCTTGCTTACCACTTTGTTCCATGTGGTTTCTTCCTTCACAGACTCATGAATTGAGGACCTCTTCCTAAATATGTGGTCACATGATTGATTTTGTGTATCGTTTCCTAGAAACAAGGGGTGGCTCAACTGACCCCACTCTCCTCTACTCAGCTTTTACGGTGGATTCATTCTACTGTCCATCCATAAACTCTGAAATGTATTTGTGGCAGTGTTGTGACAGGGGAGTCTGTGGCTTTATCTTAGGTTTGACACACAAACACAGATAACCCTACTGTAGCTACACGAGCAGTGTATGACATCACAGCAGCGTTCACTTTAGTACACTAAATAATAAAATAATATGCCATTTAGCAGACGCTTTTATCCAAAGCGACTTACAGTCATGTGCGCATAAATTTTTACGTATGGGTGGTCCCGGGGATCGAACCCACTACCCTGGCGTTACAAGCGCCATGCTCTACCAATTGAGCTACAGAGGAACACTCTACACTTGTGTACACACACAGTATGTACTTGCATGTGTCAGTGTTGGTTTGTTTTGTAAGTTTGTGTGTGTCTGTTATCCAGCTAGCTAATGTTTACATTTTCTCTCTAGACTATACATACACTGATGACCATACACAAGCACTATGTTGCCTCAGTCAGCAAGCTGACCCCTGCGGAGGAGGACTCTGTGTGGCAAGTGATCGTTCGCCAGCGCCAGGAGGTAGGTGTCAACAGAGTGGTTTCAGAGGTCAAAGGTCATGCACTACTCAGGCCTGCCTCGTTAGCTTAGACTATTCCCTGTCAACATTCACTCACTGTATTTGTTCATTTAACATCACATAAATGGAAAACAAGATACAGTTTTGTATGTATTTATTTTTACCGGATGAATAACTCAAGTCCTGTCCTTGTCCCATCTCTTGCTGTCTTTGTCTAGGTGAGTGATTTGAGGGAGGACTGTAAGAGGTTTGAGTCTAACTGGATGATGGCCATCAACCTCTCCAAACTGGCAGCTGAAACAGCATACAACGCAGGTACTGTATCCTATGTACCTACTCCCACATTGGATGATATAGAGTAGATTTGTTAGGATTTTTATGTTAACTTCAGGTTGAACCGTCTATACTCCTACTAGTTAGCCTGGGTACCAGTCTGTTTGTGCTCTCATTCCACTTCTTGCCACTCCTTGTCATGCCAAACATGACATGATGGCACAAACAGATCTGGGACCCGGCTACCTACCAGTGCTTCTGGGTCTATTGCAAGGAACATTGGTAATCTCTCGTTAAACCATTAACACGTGCTAAAATTACCTGCACAGCTGATATCAATTGCAACCTTTGGCCACCGATTTACCAACTCCCTAAAGCGGATGTCGAGGTTATTGTATTCCTGATTGCTGTCAACATTTTTCAAGATGTTTTTGCGCTCTTGTGGGTATTATCATTGGAACAAATCCTACTTTTTGAACAGACTAAGGGTGATTTTAACTATTTGACAATCATTCCGTACAACCTGAAATAAAGTATTTCCTCATTTACCATGGAAAATCTACTGTGGTAATTTACCCTACATGTTGTATGAATGGAAAAATATTAATTTAGATTCCAATTTGTGTCTTTTAATTATAATTTGTCAGTAATGTATAGTAGTTTCTTAGTCAATTGTGATGAGTTATATCATTTATCATTTTTATCAAATGAAAATGTAGTCAGTTATTTCAAATGCACACATATATTATTTTGTATTTTAAGATGAAAGGTTTGAATGAAGTATAGGCCTACTACTATATTCTGATGCTCCTGATAGGTCATTATTTCATTGGGGGCGGGAATAGAGAACCTAGACAATGAGTGTCCACCTTCTGTGTCAGTTTTGGACCTTGGTTGTAGACTGTGTGTGTTTTCAGGTGCCGACCAGGCGTCTGTGACAGCACAGACCAGCCTCCAGGTGGCGCAGTCTCATGTTGATCAGATCAGACAGCTCTCTATGGAGGCAGAGAAGAACCTAAAGGAGTCCAATGCAGAGGACAGCCAAAGGATCAAGCTACCTGCTGCCATGGAGGAAGAAGACATCCCTGAGGCATATCTGCGAGAGGACTAACTCAAGTTTATTACAGCCATTCCCACACCTTTGAACCATTTACAGTCTTGTCCACTTTATTCTGTTTGTGTGATGTGACTGTACTAGGCCACATGGACTGTACATGGATGCTGCCTGTATGGAGGCCTAGTGGGAAACACCTCTAATGATTTGAATTTAGAGCAGAGGGGATTTTCTTGGTATGGCTATTGATCAGTTATTGATATAAAAAGTTTTGACTCAATCATGGGAACCAAATCGTAGGTCCTATACTTTGCATGGAGTGTGGGAAATGCGCTCTACAAATTAAATATTATTATTATTATTATTATACTGCTAATGTGAATATACTGCTGTCGTGTGTTTGTGTGCATTTAAGCAGAGAAGTGCAATTTGAGATTACAGCTTCATTGCTGTCTTTTTTAGATAATGTATTAAAATGCAGGTAGATACTTTCATTTATGAGGGTTAAGTGCTGAAAATACAAGTATTATTATGACTCTAAAGGTAGCAAAAAGGTGCATGTGACATTTTTCATTGCAGTCTGATCTTGTTTGTGTATACAGTGAGGGGGAAAAAGTATTTGATCCCCTGCTGATTTTGTATATTTGATCATTTCTTTGTCAGTGGGCAGTCTATAATTTTAATGGTAGGTTTATTTGAACAGTGAGAGACAGAATATAAAAAGAATAACAACAAAAAAATCCAGAAAAACGCATGTCAAAAATGTTATAAATTGATTTGCATTTTAATGAGGGAAATAAGTATTTTACCCCTCTGCAAAACATGACTTAGTACTTGGTGGCAAAACCCTTGTTGGCAATCACAGAGGTCAGACGTTTCTTGTAGTTGGCCACCAGATTTGCACACATCTCAGGAGGGATTTTGTCCCACTCCTCTTTGCAGATCTTCTCCAAGTCATTAAGGTTTTGAGGCTGACGGTTGGCAACTCAAACCTTCAGCTCCCTCCACAGATTTTCTATGGGATTAAGGTCTGGAGACTGGCTAGGCCACTCCAGGACCTTAATGTGCTTCTTCTTGAGCCACTCCTTTGTTGACTTGGCTGTGTGTTTTGGGTCATTGTCATGCTGGAATACCCATCTACGACCCATTTTCAATGCCCTGGCTGAGGGAAGGAGGTTCTCACCCAAGATTTGACGGTACATGGCCCCGTCCATCGTCCCTTTGATGCGGTGAAGTTGTCCTGTCCCCTTAGCAGAAAAACACCCCCAAAGCATAATGGTTCCATCTCCATGTTTGACTGGAGATGGTGTTCATGGGGTCATAGGCAGCATTCCTTCTCCTCCAAACACAGCGAGTTGAGTTGATGCCAAAGAGCTCCATTTTGGTCTCACCTGACCACAATACTTTCACCCATTTCTCCTCTGAATCATTCAGATGTTCATTGGCAAACTTCAGACGGGCATGTATATGTGCTTTCTTGAGCAGGGGGACCTTGCGGGCGCTGCAGGATTTCAGTCCTTCAAGTTGTAGTGTGTTACCAATTGTTTTCTTGGTGACTATGGGCCCAGCTGCCTTGAGATCATTGACAAGATCCTCCTGTGTAGTTCTGGGCTGATTCCTCACCGTTCTCATGATCATTGCAACTCCACGAGGTGAGATCTTGCATGGAGCCCCAGGCCGAGGGAGATTGACAGTTATTTTGTGTTTCTTCCATTTGCGAATAATCACACCAACTGTTGTCACATTCTCGCCAAGCTGCTTGGCGATGGTCTTGTAGCCCATTCCAGCCTTGTGTAGGTCTACAATCATGTCCCTGACATCCTTGGAGAGCTCTTTGGTCTTGGCCATGGTGGAGAGTTTGGAATCTGATTGATTGATTGATTTCTTCTGTGGACAGGTGTCTTTTATACAGGTAACAAGCTGAGATTAGGAGCACTCCCTTTAAGAGTGTGCTCCTAATCTCAGCTCGTTACCTGTATAAAAGACACCTGGGAGCCAGAAATCTTTCTGATTGAGAGGGGGTCAAATACTTATTTCCCTCATTAAAATGCAAATCAATTTATAACATTTTTGACATGTGTTTTTCTGGATTTTCTTGTTGTTATTCTGTCTCTCACTGTTCAAATAAACCTACCATTAAAACTATAGACTGATCATTTCTTTGTCAGTGGGCAAACGTACAAAATCAGCAGGGGATCAAATACTTTTTTCCCTCACTGTATCAGTTATGTTGTCACTTTAAATGCAAGTAAAAAAGGTTGATTTCTGATTGTCTTACTAGTATGTAACGTGCCAGTAGAATAGCGTAGGGTTTGGTCTGGGCGGAAACGCTTACATTTCTTATGCACTTAGGGCCTTGAGATAAGTTGATTTAACATTAACTTAAGTCAATAAATGTTGACCTAAGTCCATGTTAAGTATTCTTATCTCAAGTCTGAATCAGGCTATGGCCAGAAGATGTCTCTGTAGGTTCATGTATGATCCTTGCTGTGCAGCTCTCGACTCCGAATCTACATTTTACATTTTAGTCATCTACTCATGCATGATGAGGTGCAAGCTTGGGAGGAATAAAGATACTCAATGTGAGCGGAAATCCAGACTCTAGTGAATGAATGCTCAACTTTATGGTGGTTTTATTAAAATGTACTCGCGTTAGAGTGATCTGTCTCTTGCTCAGTCAGAATTTCTCTTTTTCAAATGGTGCCTATCTTTCCCATTCATTGAATTGTACAACTTGATGGTCTGGGGTGTGAACTCATCTTGATATTAGAGCGCTGTTGAAGTTTGAAAACGTCTGACCCTTTGAATCTGGGGTAAACTATCACTTTAAGGCACTAAATCCATGGAAATTTCTTACCGTGATTCTATAAGGGTTTAGCCTTCATGGGAAAAGCTGAGTAAAATGGTCTAGAACTCTAAATGTAACTTAGCCTGAATAGAGTACTGTACAGAATACAAAGTATAACTGTCCCTGGGAATACATGTTGTCCAATGAAAACCTCAGCGATACAAACAGACTGTTATCAAGGGGCACCTAAGGGGCTGCAGATGAACATGCATCGATCCATCCATCCCCTGGCCTGGGAAACTGGATGCTTGATAGTGTCCAGTTTGTTCCCTCTATTTTCTTCATGACTTATTATGCTAAATAGTCCCAAACCTACCAAGACAGACATGTGTATAAGACAGGGCAGGGAAGATAGAGAGATGTATGGGGGTAAATAGAGAGGGGAGGAGACCCACAGAATAAAAGGATAAAGAAGAGAGAAAAGGGGACTTGCACTTATTACACTGAGCTTCACTTCACCAGTAGCATCCACCAGCCCCTCCAATCCCCCTGGCCCTCACTGAAGAGCCCTTGAGGCTTACTCAACATTCCTCAGAGAGACAAAGTGCTCTGTGAAAGAGAAAAATGTGAACATGGATTGCAGGCCAGGATGTTTGTTATCCAAACCACAGGACAACACCTTTTTAAAGAGACCCCAAATCCTCCATCAAAAATGTTGTCATGTTTCTTGTTCAAAGTGAAAGTTCTACTTTTACACAACTCCTTTTCTTCTATCGCCCTCGGCTTCAGTTTATTGTTTCATTTCATCAATTATGTTTTATAACAGGTGTATTATGGTCCCACCGGAGAATTTGTGTATCAAATGTGCCCTCTTGTCTGACAATGGTAGTGCTAATGGTTTTACTGCTCTACCTTTCATTTAAAATGCTGCCTTTCTCAAAACAAACCATTAATGTTCCTGCTAAAGATATGCAGATGTGTTCTTTCATTAGCAAACCATGTGGGTAAGGTGATGACAAGAACATGCACAGCATTCATCAGACTAACATGGATCAGAGTGCAAAGTATTCATCTAAGATTAACAGGAGAAGACCTTAACTGCCAGTGTTGTTGCCATTTGTTTGTGTGTGTGTGTGTGTGCATGCATGTTTGTATGGCCTATGTCCAGTGTAAAGTCTGGTGGGTGTGTTTGTTTACTTAAGGGAAGAACTTGTGAAATGGGGTGATCAGGAGAAGAGGACTGCAGTCTGGTTCCAGATTATTTGCATGGCCATAGATGTATGTCTCTATAATAATATAGAGGGGTACATGCAAGCAGATAAGACACTGTATTGATTTTCAGTCACACATAAACAAGTTCCATATACTTATAAATGGAGTTAATATGGTAGATCATCTGAGATTGACAGTCACTTGCAAGGCCAGCTTCTCTTTGGATATTTTCTGTTGGTGAAACAGTAAACACACTGCACTGTAAACACACAATAATGAAATACATTTTATTTCATATACACTTGACTGCTTTATAAAATCCTAATATTATATGTCCTCATTGCATTAATTAAGGTATTGCATCAGTGGGAAAGGCTGTGTAGGAAAAAGTGAAGACACCTGAGGGAGGAGAAAGTAAAAAAATAAAAATTGAACGTTTGAGACAGCTAGAGGGGGAAATAGATTGAAGTAGAACACGGTGTCGAGTTTCAGGTCTCAGTTGATCTAATCCATGGCAGATGAGAAGGGCTTGAGCTGAATGAGTGCCTCTGCTCTCAGGCACATCAAGGTGAGATCCCTGGGCGCTGCTGCTGGGGCTACTGACAGGCACAGTGTTCCTGTAATGACAGCCACTCGCTGCCCCGTGATGAGGGGTTGTGGGAGAGTTTGGCAAAACTTTGTATTTTGTCAAAGTCATTGTATTTTGATGAGGCCATGAGTGTGGTGTAACCATACATCATAAAATGAAACAAATGAAGCATGTATCTGTTCCACTATTTCTCACCATCAAAACTCTCCGACAGACTCCCTAACAAGAAGACTCTGTACCAACTGTAAACCTGCATCTGTGCAAGGTATAATGGCTCTGGCTGACTGGTATCTAGCCTAATAGCCTATAAACATTCTCTATTTTTTCACACAGTAGGATATCAGTGTCTGAGCACTTTGTAACCCCATTATTAATGTAATTTCATTTCTAATCTGACAATGTATCTCTTAGAATCCAATACCAGGACATTGTGCTTTTAAAAAAACAGTCTTCTTCCTTTGTTGTGGT